GCTGCTGGCTGGACCCTGCTGATGACGCCTGCTGTTGCTGTGAGTGTCTCTGAGGACCTGTGCTTTCTCTTTCTGCTCCTCAGGATGTGGGATGAGGCCTTACCGGAGCTCCCGCATCGTGGGCGGTCAGGTGTCTCGGGAGGGCGAGTGGCCGTGGCAGGTCAGCCTCCACATCCGGGGGAAGGGGCACGTGTGCGGCGGGTCGGTTCTGAACAACCGCTGGGTCCTGACCGCCGCCCACTGCGTCCAGGACAACGAACTGAACAAGTAGGAGCCGGACTCACAATCATTACAGTTCAGCAAAGCCCCACTGCAGCTACACGATGCATTCACCAGCACCAAGGATCAGCTGTAAAAGTGATGTGTCAGGTTAAATACTGCTGAGTCATGACATCAGAACAACGACATTCTGCTCATAGTTAAACAGAAAACACTGATTCTTGCTGCTTAACAGACACCAACACCACAGACAGTGAGTGAATAAACACTGGTTCCAAAGTGAAAGTAATCAGCTGATGATCAGATTTAATCTTCACTGAGAGCAAACAGCAGAAACTCTGGAGCTGAGCAGCTGGTTGGAGCTGTTCAGGAGGTGTCGTGGTGGAGATCTGTTGGTGGAGACACCATCATCACCGCTTTGTCTGAAAGAGTGAAGCTGCCAACAAGTCGGGCTGTTTGTCAAAAGAGGTCCGGTTCTGGTCCGTTCCAGTGAAAACAGATGTTTGTCGTGTTGTAGTCAAAGACGTGATCTGGGATGTAAACAGGACCTGTCGGGGCCCCCCTATAGCTCACCTGGTAGAGCGGGCGGCCCATGAACAGGGGCTGTAGTTCCCCGATGCAGCGGTCGTGAGTTCGAATCCCGCTCACGACCCTTTGCTGCAGGTCTGTCCCCACTCTTCTCCCCCCTTTCCTGTCTCCCTCTACTGCACTAAATAAAGGCAAAAGCCAAAAAAAATATATTTAAAAAAAAACAGGACCTGTCTGACAAATGCAGTCCTAAAACACTCAGATCTCTTTAAGATGGCATCAGGATCTAAATATTTAATGACTTGGATCACGTTGGGAGCAGAACAAGTTGATCTGGACCTCCCTACAGGGATCTTTGTTGGTTTCAGCCGTGAGACACTTCCTGGTTCTGGGATGCATCCTGCAGTCGACCTGTTGACCACAAAGTTTTGTAAAATGGTTCCTCCCTGTGTCTCCACCTCTGACCTCGTGCTGCAGGTACTCTCAGGCCGACCAGTGGGAGGCGCTGCTGGGGCTGCACGTACAGAGCCTGACCAACGAGTGGACGGTGAGGAGGAACGTGAGGCGGATCATCGCCCACCGCGGCTACAACTCTGTCACGTTCGACAACGACATCGCCCTGATGGAGCTGGACGCCAACGTCACCCTCAACCAGAACATCTTCCCCATCTGCCTGCCGGCCGCCTCCTACGAGTTCCCTGCAGGCCAGGAGGCCTGGATCACCGGCTGGGGGGTCACCAGGGAGGGAGGTGAGGAAGCGCTGCTCACTGATGAGGAAGAACATCACCGTCTAATCCAGCTGAACACAGGCAGCATGACTGTTGAAGAGCAACCTGTCGGAAAATGAAGCTGGATTTGTGAAAAGCGTGTCTGTCTCTGTGCTTGTTTTGTGTCTTTGTGATTTGTTTCCATCGTTTTATCGTCTCTTTGTGGTTCTTTTATTTTTTTACTGTTTCTAATTACATTCTACATCCGCTTAGAAAAACCAGCTTAAAGGGACGGCAGCCAAAGTAGATCATTTAACCAACAAGAAGTCTGAACAATGCGTTTTAAACAAGCACAGGCTTCCCAGTAGGTCAACGTGTTCACCCAACAAGTTCAGATAAACCCAACGAGATGATAGAGAAGGTCAACAAACCCAACGATAGCGTCTGAGCAGGGAGTGAAGTGACGACCTGAGATTCTAGCAGGAAAGTAGCTTCTGAGCCCAGAAGTGGAGCTTTGGAGGGTCAACGTGTGAACATCTCAGCTCACCGGTGATGCTGTCAGGGACCAACACAGTCAGAAAGTTCAGGTCCAGGACTGCAGCAGATGGGACCAGTTCATAGTGTTTGTCTTCATAATCTTCAGCATTGTCCACTAGGAACCGAGAAGCTCAGTGTGATGTGCAGAAGAAGCCCAGAGTCGTTGGAGCAGAGTAGATGAAGCGTGCACTTGTCCACCTGTTGAGGGTTTAGTTCCTGAAGCCCAGAGTCCCCGTCATGGGGCTCTTCTACCCCACATGGCTGCTTTGTTGTGCATCTAAAACGTGTCGTCTTGCAGGTGTGCCGGCGACCATCCTGCAGAAGGCTGCGGTTCGGATCATCAACGGCACCGTTTGTAAGAATCTGATGAACGACGAAGTGACCGACAACATGATGTGTGCCGGAGTCCTGAAGGGAGGAACCGACGCCTGCCAGGTGGGTCCATACCGGTCCGTCAGGGTGCTGCTGGGCTGCTGATTGGTTCCTGCTTTCCTTCACTGTCGGGTTTTTGAGTAGCTCCGGACATGTTTCAGGTTTTAAACCGTTCAAGTTCTTCGTTGGTTCTTCCTTTCTCTAACCTGTGAATCGTTTTGGACTAATGTTGGTCTTTAGATTCTTATTTTTTAAACAAATATTCTTTTATTTTGTACATTTTTTGACTCATTGTAGACAAATTCTTGAATTGTTCTGTCTGGAGGTGGAGACGGGAGGAAAACATCTGTCCTTCCTTCAGTGTGTCATAGAAAGCTCCACAGACGCTGAGCTGAAGTCAGTTTCAGGTCGGTTCTGATCCAGATGAATAAACGTGGCTGCGTTGTGTCGTCAGAACGTGGCGCTGCAATAAACCGAGTAGAAGAGAAACAGAACCGTCCGTTTGCCAACTGCCTCAAAAAACCTCAAAGAAGAAGAAACAAAAAACAGGAAGAAGAAGAAGAAGAAGAAGAAACGGTCTTCAGTCACCAGGCTGTGATGGTTCTTGGTTCTTGTCAGCTCAGAAGTGGTGCTCGTTTCATTTCCCATGAGGCCTGTCACTGGTTGGAGAGAAACCTTTCCTGATACGATGTTTGTAGATGTGTCCATCAGCACGGTGCTGATTCTCATCAGATAATTAGATTTTTCAATACAGTTAGATGAACAGATTTAAAGTAAAGACGCAGAGTCGACTTTCTGATCAGGAACCGTCTGGTAGATGTTGTTCCTCATTCACACGTTCAGCTGCTGCTGCCGCTGGGAGCAACGTCAGGTTCAGTGTCTTGGACTGTGGAGGAGATCAAACCACCAACCTTAGAGGACAACCTGCTGTACCACCTGGACCACAGCCGTCCCTCCATCTTCAGCATGTTCCACACATTTAGTGTTTATTAGAAAAACATGGAAAATGAAGCTGATGGCTGTTTTCTGACTCTGCTGCTCTGCAGGGCGACTCCGGCGGGCCGCTGTCCGTCACCGGCGCCAGTGGGCGGGTCGTCCTGGCCGGCGTGGTCAGCTGGGGCGAAGGCTGCGGGCTCAGGAACAAACCCGGCATCTACACCCGAGTCACCAAATACCGGCGCTGGATCAAGGACAACAGCGGAGTGTAGCTGCTGGAAGGTTTGCTGGTGTTCCTCATGGACATCATGATGAACCATCTGGTCAGTTTGACTTCAAGTCATTTTGGTTCCTGACAAAACAGTTTAAAGGAACGACTCCATTAACAGACACACAAACCATCATTCTCATCAGAGTATGGTGACTAAGTCAGGACCTGTATGGATTAAACACTGCACATGGTTTGGTTTTTTGACAGTGAATCTGATCTTTTGGTGTCAGTAGTAAAAGATGAAAAACAAGGTTGTGATCTTTAGATAAGCGTGTCAGTGATAGTGTTGGAAGCAGGGATATCTTCAGGATGACTAATTGTAAACTGTTGTGTGATGAAGTTTCACCTTAAAGTGTGTAAATGTTGGTGTTAAAAATATTCTCAGGGCTAAAAGGGGAATTCTTCAGTTTCTCCATAACTGTAGTCGGCTGGTGAAGGTTTACTTCAGGGCTTCACTGTTGATTCTCATCACATCATTTCTTTCAACACGTTTAGATGAACAGTTTTTAAATAAAGGCTCTAAGAGTCGACTTTCAGAATTTCCAAATGTTCATAAAATGGGCTCTTTGAAAAAAAAAAAAAACTGTCCAAAAATGCTTTAAAATGTTTTGTTTTTGCTCAAAGTTTCCCAAACTAAAGATATTTTATTTTTTTATTGTCAAAATTATGAGAAACTCTGAAAAATGAAATTGAATTACTGTGTTGGTGACGACAAACAAATCTTTTGTATTTAAAGTAAACTAGCTAGCAGACTGTAAACAGGTGGCGTTGCTGTGACGACACCGAGGGACGAACTTTCAGCCAAATGATGAACAAATCTACCGAACTCAGTTCTCCATGTGTGAATAACAGGATCCAGGAATGTAACCTGGAGAAATGAATGTCTAAACTCCTTGAAGGTGTCAAAAACACTGTCAAGTTCCATGAAACCTTTATTGAGGAGTTCCTCAGGGAACCATGCTGGGTCCTCAGGAGATTCTTTAAATCTGAGGGTTCCTGCTGCTTTGTTACCATGTTGTTGATATTCAACAGAAAATAGAACAACAACATTTTAAAACCCCTGAATGTTTACTGGCTGCTCTCAGATGGTGTCTTTACAGTAGAAAACAGATAGAGGGCGCCTCTCTTCAAAATCAATGAAACAAAACTGTTAAAAGATCTTTTTAACCGAAATAGTAAATCAGATAAATGTTGGTTTAGAATAGCCAATAATCAGTAGTTAGTAAAATGGATCAGTCGTAGAAATCAAATCAGATCTTTTTGTTTTTTCCGCTCATTTCCGTCTTATTCTCTTTGTTTGAGCAACTTCACCTTAAAGCAGCTGTTTCTGTTACAGTTCTTGTTTTTTATTCATGTGTTGCATGTTTGTGGTGACGAATGTTCTGCTGATTGTATTTATATGTCCAGTGTTTCCTCATTTCTGTGACTGCTGGTTTTGTCTGTGCTCGGCTGTAGCTTCAATGTGGGTCGCAGCAGGATCGTGAATAATTTAAAAGATGTAATGATATCAGAGGATGACACTCAGTTGAAGAATGAAGTATGTGTTCAGATTAAACTGGGTCGTCGGCCTGAGAGCTTCTACTTTAGTTTTTCTGAGGTTAATTTAAAGTCATTTTAAGCTTTTAAGGACTCATTTTTTTCTCTGGGTGAAACTGGCGAACGCTAAAGTGGCAATAACTTAAATGAAGGCTAATTATGATACAGCACACAAATGTACCAATTACTGTTTTTATTGCTGTTGAATGTTTTCTTTTTGGGACCAACTCAATTAAAAATACAAACAACACAAACATTAACACAGAGTTGATTGTTGTTGTTTACACAACGAACAGCTGCTAACATGTTGAAGGGAACACGCAAGAGCAAAGATTTAGCGGCATGCTAACAGGACTGTAAGGTTTCTGTAGCTGAGTGTCGTCGTGACGGCGGCCCAGCTTCAGTCTGCTGCTACGTCACACTGAACAAAAATACAAGCACAACACTTTTTTGCTCCCATTTTTCATGAGCTGAACTCAAAGACCTGAAACCGTTTCTGTGTCCACAAAAGGCCGATTTCTCACAAATTTGTCTAAATCTGTGACAGTGAGTACTTCTCCTTTGCTGAGATAATCCATCTACATCACAGGTGTTCCTCAGGGTGGCCCCAATAAAAGGCCGCTGTAGTTTTACTGTATAGGGGAGGTCCGGGGAGGTCCAGGGGGGTCCGGGGGGGTCCGGAAACCAGTCAGTACCTGATGTGACCACCACTTGCCTCAGTGCAACACATCTCCTTCACGTAGAGCCGATCAGGTTGTTGGGATGTTGGTCCACTCCTCTTCACTGAGCCAAGTTGCTGGATATCGGCAGGAAGTGGACCACGCTGTCGCCGATCCAGAGCAAACATGCTGAATGGGTGACATGTCCGGTGAGTACGCTGGCCATGCAAGAGCTGGGATGTTCCTTGTCCAGATCCTTGGGGCTGTGCATTATCCTGCTGCCACATGAGGTGATGGTCGTGGACGATAACAATAACGGGCTCATCTCTGTGCATTCAAACTGCCGGCAATAAAATGCATCTGTGTTCGTTGTCCATAACATACCGTAACCCCACCGCCACCATGGACCACTGCTTTCACAACATTGACATCAGTAAACCGCTCACCCACACGACGCCGTGCACGCCGTCTGCCAGCTGCCCTGTACAGTGAACACGTCTCCAAACGACGCCATCGAATGTGAGCTGTCGTCCACTCTAGTCGGTCACGATGACGAACTGCATTCAGGTCGAGACCCTGATGAGGACCACGAGCATAAAGATGAGCTTCCCTGAGATGGTTTCTGACAGTTTGCACAGACATTCTTGGGTCAGCAGCGGTCCGGGTGGCTGGTCTCAGATGATCTTGGAGGTGCAGATGCTGGATGTGGAGGTCCTGGGCTGGTGTGGTTACACCTGGTCTACGGTTGTGAAGCCAGTTGGTTTTACTCCCAAACTCTGAGACGCCTTTGGAGGCAGCTTATGGTAGAGACATGAACAATCAATTCACAGTCAGCAGCTCTGGTGGACATTCCTGCAGCAGCCAATCACACGCTCCCTCAAAGCCTGCGACATGTGTGGCACCGTGCTGTGATTAAACTTCACATTGTGGCCTTTTGCTGTTTCCAGCCTGAGGCACACCTGAGCAGTAACCATGCTGTCTCATCAGCATCTTGATACGCCACCTGTGAGGTGGATGGATTATCTCAGCAAAGGAGAAGTGCTCACGAACACAGATTTAGACAAATTTATGAACAATATCTGAGAGAAATAGTCCTTTAGTGTACGTAGAAAAAATCTCAGGTCTTTGAGTTCAGCTCATGAAAAATGGGAGCAAAAGCAAAAGTGTTGTGTTTAAACCTCAGTGTGTCAGCAGCAGAGCACAGTCAGTAACCATCACACTTTGTTGTGGGGTTCCTCAAGGCTCCGTACTGGATCCACTGCTGTCTTCATTATAAAGAGGTAAAGTTCTGCCCTGATGATGTGACTGATGGAACCTTAACTCTGAAAAAATACGTGTAAAGTATGTAGTCAGAGACGAGTTCTGCTTTGAACCCGTTTGCCCTAAATTCAACTCATCAGTTTAAAAGAAAGAAAAGAAAGCTGCAGTTTGTTGTAAATCCAGCAAAGTTCAGTTTATTTTTGTGTGAAGCTGCTCAGTGAGCCACGTTTCTCGTGTGGTTACCTCAGAACATTTCACTTGATCCTCCAGAATGAGCAAAAACATTTCCACCAGGAGTAAAAACCACCACAGATGTGAATCCGGCCAGATCGACAAACGTACGAGTCGTTATTGGAACAATTCAAACCGGATCATGAAGGATTTGTCTCCAGCAGGTACTTTTAGGTCACTTTTGACACGTTTTCTGATTTAAAGCAGCATTAATGATTTCACAGATGGATGTCAGAAGTTTGTGGCTGTTTGAAACCTAAATCTGATGAAACTCTGTGTTTTTTAGAGAATTTTCCGCCTGTGGTTTTACATTTATGGAAAAAAGAAGAAGAAAGAAAGAGGAAGGAGAAATCCAGCAGAAACAGAAAGCTCGAGTGAAACCGGTCGAATCATGACCGAACACTTTGCTGCATGATGAAGCTGCACGTGAGCTGTGACTGACTGAAGGGATGAAGGGAATCGTATCAGGTTCCAGGCTTGTTTCTGCTGTCAGACTTTCATCTGTTTATTGGGTTTATTCTACGTTCCCGACAGACACAACTCTTGGTTTAGATTTTCTCTGCTGCGTTTCTGCAGTAAAGACGTTTGGAGACGAAGTTGTTTTTTTTCTTCTTATTTTCTTTACTCAATATGAATTTAAAACCCTGTTGGCTGTTGTTTAGTTAATTGGGAGTCAAAAGACTTGAATTTGAGAGATCTTCATCAGAAGTCTGTGATGGGACTTTGGTTCGTTTATTGGGTCGATTCGAAGTGTTCGTGGTTGAGAAACGAACTGAAAAACCCACAAAACTCCACCAACTGTTGGTTTCTACTGAAGCTCCTGGTTCCTACCAATGATCCACATTTAGTTTGAACATGTAAAACCAGAACCTGGTCTGGTCCAACTTCACCACATCAGGTTCTACTGATGTTAGAGCCTCAACAGGTGGTGAGATGTGACCAGAGACTGGGTTCTAGTAGAACCATGGATCCATCCATAGACAGACACTGACAGGAACTTTGTGGATCAGCACCAGCCTGGTTGGAGGTTTTACACTTATTTATTCCAGTTTCTAGAACCAATCACTAACCTGTGCTCTGTTGGATCCATTCAGTGGTTCTGATGGAACTGTTCTGTCTGAGTCTCCACATTTCATGGCTGCTGGAGTTTTATTTCTGGAGATACTGAACATTAAAGTGGATTCAGAGGTTTTGTTTTTGAGGGTGAAAATACAAAAGTTCACGTCTGAAAACATGAAAATCTCAAAATCCTGCCAACATTTTTTATAAAACTTAATTTTAGGTCCCAAAAAACAAACAAAACCAACTCAATCTGCAACAATCATGTTTTAAATCCTGAAAGACATAATCGACATCCTGTCTTAAACTCTGGACTCTTTACTTTCATTTTCGAGTATATTTTTTATTGCAGCTGCAGCAGATCGTATGTAAAACGGGGAACTGGTGGCTTCCTGCCGCTCAGAGGATACAAGCTGCTGCAGATGCCAGACGAGCTCCAGACATGGAGAAGGTCGTGACTAAATTTGCTCATCAGCGGTTGGGCGTCTACGCTGCCATCACCATGATGTTCACCTACAACGTCCTGCTGGACCGAGACTTCGCCTGCTCCTGCAAAGCTCAGACCTATAGTTGCAACTGCTACTTGGCTCTGCCTGTTGTCGTCATATTTGTGTTGATGCTGTGGACCAATGGGCCGTTTCACAGCGTCTGCAGACACATCTGTATAAGACCCTATCCGGTTTTCAGCTTGGTGATTCACATGTGCAGAGCTCTGCTGGTCGGGCTGCTGTGGATCGCCTTCGTGCTCATCGATGGCGACTGGTACGTCTGCTGCAAGAACGACCTGTCGGACCTGCTGGAGCACCTGCCCTGCACGGACCAGCAGAAGCTCACCACCGAGGAGCGAGTGAAGATTGTTGACCTGAAGAACAAGTCCAGGGTGAGTTTTTATTCCTCCTCTGAACATCTGAACCAGACACAGTCATATAAGCATCGATCTGGTGTTCCTCTTCAGGTTTGGGGTTCCTTCCTGCTGCTTGGTATCGTCTGTGTGGCAGCGTTCATGTCCATGTTTAAGTTTACCACCTGCTGCAACCCAGAAACTTTATATCAGAGGCTGATTCTGGAGGCAGAAGGAAACAAACTGCAGGAGGTTCTAAAGGAAGCAGCAGAACAGACGCTGAAGGACAACGTGAACAGGAAGATAAACAACGGACGGTGGGACGAAGTTTGTAACGTCACTGAAACCCTGATGAACGAACCACCACCACGAGGACAAGCCCTGGACGAGCAACAAGACAGAAACGGAGCAGCAGAACGCCAGGTAACTGACCTCTACAGGTAACTGACCTCTACAGGTAACTGACTTCTACAGGTAACTGACCTCTACAGGTAACTGACCTCTACAGGTAACTGACTTCTACAGGTAGCTGACCTCTACAGGTAACTGACTTCTACAGGTAACTGACCTGTACAGGTAGCTGACTTCTACAGGTAGCTGTGGATGTCTGCAGCTTGCTTCTGATTGGTTCTGGGTCGGCGGATCTACGTCGTCCTTTTAGATTCTTTAATGAACTTCAGACTGTTTGCTGTGAATTCTGATTTAGTGAAAGTTGGTGCCGAAGCAGAACAGAACCTGAAAACCTGAAACCTGTTGGAGGAGTTTTAACTGCAGCGTTTCTGCCTGAACATGAAGCTCTGATCACGGCTCTGATCTGTTTGCAGGAGGAACAAATCGAACTGACACCGAGGGCAGGTAGGAACTGTTTTATCTCCTGATTTAGACCTTTTTTTTTTTCATCCTTTGTTGTGAAGCTGCTCTTGTGGAGTTTTACAGTCGGTCAGTTCAGGACAGAGTCCAGGGTTTCATGGAGAACATTCAGCCTTTGGATCAGGAACCAGCTGCTCATAAACTGAACCTTCAGTCCGACGTTCTGTCTCAGAATTCTTGTTAAAGGTTCAGTGGTTGTTTAGTAGCTGGTGAAGACACTGAACTAGCTGGTTAACGCTGATCTGTGAATGACGTCACATCGGTTTGTCAAAATAAAAGTCTTTACAGATGTTTTGAGGGAATGTGGGGTGTCGGCGCCCTCTGGTGGCTGAAATGTAACAGCTGTGAAATCCATGCAGGGAGGAGGTTGGGTTGGATGGACGGGTCAACACAGCGACACAGGAAGCTGCTGCTTGTTTCCTGTTTCCTTCCTGCTTCCAGCTTCCTGTTTCTTTAACATAGCAGCTCACTGCTTTTAATGCTGTAACCATGACGACAGAGGTGCTCCGACTTTAACCAGGTTCTTATTGTTGAGCTGTTTTGTCTTTACCAAAACCTCTGGGCAGGCGACAGGATGTGGTTCTGTTTTTATAATGAATCATGTTTCCTTCTGACAGAGTGAGAACGTCTGGGCGTCGGATCCACCAGCAGAAGAAACAACGATATAAAATAACAACAACAAAACGAAAGAAATACCGAAAGAAACGAGCACGAACTTGAATCTGTGAGTCTGTGACTGTTCAGACAAAAGAAAACCTTGTTCTGTGATTTACTGTCGTTAACAGCTGATTTAAAATATTTAAACAAAACCACCACAAAGAGACGCAAAACCACCACAAAGAGACGCAAAA